GGTCTTCCAGGAGCCCTGGATCACTTCAAGGAGATAGGGAAGGAAGGGTAGAAGAGGAGCGGGTGGAGATTCTGATTGCACCCTTTTAAACACCGGGTCTTGCACTGCTTTGGAAGTCTGCTTGACCTCTAAGCCTAGGGCATCAGCCATGCGAGCCATTTGATCCGCAAAGGCTCGGACATTGTCCGTGGGAGATGGAGGATCAGCCTCATAGGCGTCGTGAGTGGGTGATCTCTCGATCCCGAGAGATAACACAGACCCCGAGTGTACCGATCCCGGTAACTCGCCATCTTCCTCTTCGTCATCGGCAGCCACGGATTGGGGAGGAGGGGATGAGGAGACATCCCGACTCGGGCGCTGCGGTGGAGCCACTGGGGGGGCTTTTGAGGCCGAAGCCTGAATGGCACGGGCCAGTCTCATAGTCTGCCTGCCCCTTTCTGGAGTCTCCAACACTGGAGAAGTCTCCTGTCTTGCCATCACAGTTGTCAAGGTTGTGACCGACGGGAAAAGCTCCTGTCTGGCTGTCACATGTCGAACTGGTGCCTCGATCACCGTGTCCACCGAGATCACCGGGGACTCGGGTTGTTCCGAAGGCAATTCCGGCAGAGGTTGTGGCTCCTGAGCAGGCTGTGGGGCCGGCTGGGGTTCAGCAGGCTGCAACGGCGATGACCTCGCCGACGAGGTGGCCGAGGAGGCGGTGGTCTGCTTTCGGGAAGAAGAAGAAGACGAGGATGGAGGCGGCATCGTCTTCTTCTTCTTTGCCGGCGGCTGAGCTGTCTTCGACACAGACTTGCCCGGGGTGGGCGGGACGGAGGATGAGGTGGAAGCACGCCGAGATTCTTCTTGAGACCGGTGAAAGGCAATGCGAACCGCCGTGGAAGATGGCGGAGTCGCCGATGTCGACCTCGTGGACCTGATCGATCTCACCGACGCCACTGAGCTGGTCGAAGAGTGCCGGGTGCGTACGGTCTCGGTCGTGACCGTGCATGGAGCTTTTTGCTTCGTAGGCTTTGTAGCCTTGGAAGCTGTCGACACCGAGGCCTTAGAAGTTGTCGACATAGCTGTTCTCGGCCTTTTCTGCGCAGCCTTCTTCGCCCTTGTCTGGCGAGGCTCGGTCTCCGTCGAGGGATCGACAGATTTTGATGTCGATGCTCCCTTCGACGTCGAAGCTGATGTCGAAGGCCTGGATACCGCAGCTGACGTCGACGCCGATGTCGATGTTGAAGGTACCGGAGCCAACGTCTGCTGGTACAGAAGGTATCGAAGCCGATGGACCCGGTTCTTACGGGACTGTGCCGTCAACGATTGACAATGACGACACGAAGAAGTAATGTGTGCCTCTCCGAGACACAAAAGGCAAAGAGCGTGCTTGTCCGAATCAGGGATCTTCCTCGGACAATTTGCGCATCTTTTGAAGCGAGTTGTTGACATAATACTGTCGAACAACTCGAGGAAATCTCTGTAGAGAAACTATCCAAACTCTATCCAACTAGAAGTACCGAAGCGAGCCGTGCAGCGGAAAAAAAGGAATTGGATCGGTGTGCGCGGGGCGCCCTTTTATCCCCTGCCGGGGCTAGGCGGGGTTACCGCCAAAACTTGAAAAGTTTTAAAATGTAAAAGTTTCCGTTGGAGCCCGCGCAGGCGCAGTCTCTCCACAAGTGTGCATTCGCAGAGACCACGAAGAAAAAACGCAAACACACACATATATACACACATATACACACACAAAACACGTATACACACGAAAAAACACATATACACAGACTGGGCCACAGCAACGCGTGGCAGGGGACGGCTAGTAAGTAATAAATCATATATATTTTTAAAGGTTATCATGAAATATGTTTTGTCCCCATGTGTTTTGTTATTACAATGCATGCATGTGTCTGTATCTCTTATAAGGGGTTGATTTAACCTCCGACTAGTAAAACTGAATTATTGTGTTGTAAAATTATGTGTGCCTAAAAAGTGTGTCACAAACATTAAATGTTTGGAAAGCTCTAATTTAGGGACTGAAATTTCACTAAAACCTGTTCAATACAGCCTTGACTAGAAAAAAATTGTTTCATTTCCAGAGTGGGGGAGGTTGACTTACCATATTTTGTTTGATCATGTTATTAATGAAAGCTCAGATCCTCCGAATATAAATGTTTACACCAGAACATCAAATTCCAAATGCACATAATGCTTCCACAGGGACATGAAAAAGGGCATAGAATAGGCAGTATGCTGGTTCTTGTGCTATATATCTGTCTATCTTTATCTGAAATTTGAAAGGCTAGCCACTCTCCCAGATAAACCCAAATAGCTCTATCAAACAGAGCATGAGTTTTAAGAGTTTCCTGCCATTTTCATAACTATAAGCATATGAATTGTAGTTCACATTGAAAAATGAAGTAAGAAAGCTGCCAAGAAAAGATCCAAGCAGTATTACCAGCACTGTTTCATAACCATTTACAGCTGCTCTTGATCTGACAGCAGCTACCATGGTTTTCTCCTCCCTATCCAGAGCTGAGCTTCTAAAAAGGAAGTCATTATGGCAAACCCTTTAATCTGCAAATATGGGGGTTGTTTCAGAGGGCTAGTTTTGGCCTATTTTCACTCTCTGCCTTGAGTTTACATTCTCTTGAATTGTTGGCAGCATGGCAGTCGGGTGGTGGTTAGATGATGGTATTTAGTGTGCAAAAGTCTGGACCACAGATGTTTTGTACACATGCGTCTCCATCTTTCCTTTACTAAACCTCTATATTCAGAAGTGAAATTATCTATACAGCCTTTTAGGTTTCTGAAACAAAGTATATGAAAAGGTGACAAGGTAAAACTTGCAATAATTGCCAAGTATGTCTCTGCCAAGAGATTAATGTCATAAGTAATACGTTTTTATTTGGCTCACAAAATCACTCAGCCTGCTTTGTTAACCACACTTTCACTACCAAAAAAGAGGTCAAAATCCACCAGTCTTTGCAGAAACCTGCCTTCTTTCAGACTAGGAAATGTCAAGTTACATTTTCTGGACATTGCCAAGGCCCTTGTAATGCATCATGATTAGGCTGCTGTCATCAAATCCATTGGAAACTTTCAGATAATAATAATTATAGAATACTTAATGGTTTCAAATTGCAACTTCAGGTCACAGTCTTTATGACATCTTCTTGTAAGTAATCATCTGAATATATTCGACAGCAGAATAAACTGTTCAGACTGTGTAAAAAAAAACCCTTGTAGTTTTCTTTAGCTGTAGGTGGAAGTATATATGACACGATCTGGGCCCATTTCTTCATGTCTGTGCATTTTTAAAAACACACTTTCATTTCAAAGGGAAACTTTATTCTGGATTTATGGCATATATAATTCCAGAAAAGGAAGTTACTTGTGTGAAATTTATTACAATCAAGCTTTGGTACAAATCGTGTCCAGTAGATGTTCGTTCATTTAACAACATTGAAACATAAGTGTAACCAGCAATGAATAAAATATTTTTTAGATGACATCTTTCATATCTAATCTCTAATGCCAGCAAGCTGATTCTGGAAGCACAAGTCTAAAAAAAAAGATCATTTCTGAGCTTTCTCTGTGTTGGGGCCCTCTTATCCCACTGGAAGTTTGATGTGCTTAGTGTAGCAATAAAATCCCATGTAACTGAATATCCACAGCTCCAGGATTTTAAAACATTGAGCAGTAAACCCAATTCATCTTGTGAGAACCTGGGCCTCCCGATTATATGCCAGAAAAATATAAAACATTATTCCTTCCTTTATTCACTACTGAAAATTTGTGACACAATTCATTATGCAAATGGACCCTTTACTTGGAGCAAGTTGTGGCATTAGCCTAGTTGTAGGAGATAATTTTCTGCTGAACTTTGGAATTGCAACAGCACAACACTGATTAATATAATTAGGCCTTCGTTAATTGGGTCTGCCTACTTTGATAGACAAGGACTAAGACCTTTTGAATTTATCTTCATTGGCGAATGTTTTGAAAAGCTTCCTGTTTGACTACAAGCTCAATTATTAAATATATGTACCAAGACTTCCAGTATCTGTAATTTGAGGCTGCAGAGGGTCATTCTAACTTTGAATGTTTTTGTTCACATACTCTATATCTTTCCTCTCCAGTCCTAAAATAGCTTACTTCTTCATGGCGCAGCAAGTTAAACCCTTGCGCCAGCAGGACTGCTGACTAATAGGTCAGTGTTTCGAATCTATGGAGAATGCATTGAGATCCCTCTGTCAGCTCCAGCTCCTCATGTGGGGACATGAGAGAAGCCTCCCACAAGGATGGTAGAACATAAAAAAAACATCTGGGCGTCCCCTGGGCAATGTCCTTGCAGATGGCCAATTCTCTCACAGCAGAAGCAACTTGCAGTTTCTCAAGTCACTCCTGACACAAAAAAGCCTACATTGGCCATTATAAAATGGTGAACAAATTCCTCAAATTCTGTTAGTTTGCTTTCAGTACCATAATTATGTAGACTGCAAGGCAGCATAGCAGTTCTGGTCACCAATTCAATTGATCATGACTTCCTACTCTGAATTTATCCTTATGGATTATATCTGTACATAATTTGGTGAATGATAACAGCACTGTATAATACATATTTGGTTTTAGTGATGAATATGAAGAAGATGGGTTTTGCCAGCCGTACAGAGGAATTGCATGTGCAAGGTTTATTGGAAACCGAACCATCTATATGGAATCTCTTCATATGCAGGGTGAAATAGAAAATCAAATTACTGGTAAGTAAAGAATTTTGCTTCTTTCTGTTTTAAATTAGATCGTTGTCTTTTGAGCCGTTGCATAGTTTGGAGTATAGCAAGCACACTCTATATCGAATATGCTAAATATACTCTCAGTTTTGCTGTCTGATATTCTATAGAACTTACAATTAACTGTATAAATATATTCGCAATAGAAAAAAAATGTGTGGTTTTACAAATTTTAAAAAAAAACTACCATGAATATGAAATTGCACAATTTGTATTTCAACAAGTCTGATTCAGTCCTTGAGGACCACAGACCATATATTTTGTTCTGCTACATTCTTAACAAATCTTTGGTTGTCTTAGCTCTGCGCAAACATTTATAAAGGAATCCCTGATAGGCTGCATTTAGTATGCAAGCTTATCAAAGCTTGGCTTTAAATAATTTTTGAATATTTTTATATTGTGGTGGTGGTGGTAAAGGAGGAACTGTTTTCTTTTCAATTGTGTGTTTGTTTGGAAGTGGGGATTTTCCTACTCTCCTGTGGTGCCCCATTTATGGAGTGCTCTCCCCTTACAGGCATGGTTACAATAACTGTTGTTCTCTTTTAGGCACCGTGTTAAAACCTGGCTTTTCTTAAAAGCCTTTGGGGTTACATCTTGTTACTATTTCAAGTGTATGGCTGGCCCTTCACATTTGTGGGTTTAACTTTCTTTGATTTGATTATTCACTGATTTGATTGATGTGGTCTCTATAGTAATCTCAAGGTCCTCCAGCATGACTCTGTGCTGAATTTCTGCTGGAAGTTGACCATGGAGTCATCCTGGAGGATCTAGAGTTTCCTAGAGACATGCTCAAGCAGGTAAAAAAGAAGTTATTTTGTTCATAGTTTTTCCATTTTCACAGGCGTCCTGCAGCCCCAACTCCAGAGAATCTCAAGGGCTAACTGGACATGTACAGAGTTTATATTAGTTTGCCTTTTCTGCTATTTTAATCTAATGATTTGCTTAATGTGTTTTGAACCTATTTAAATTATTATTTATAATGTTTTTCTGTAATACATTCTGTAATATTATCTGCATTTTAAAAAACTGTTTTAATTGTGTATTGCTCTGAGATCTTATGATAGAGGGCAGAAGATGTATACTATGAATGTGTGCATATTGTTAGAACATGTGCAAGTATGATAGTAGACATCACATTGTCTGAACTCCTTGTTATGTGTGTATTGCAGCTGCTTTCACTATGATTGGGACCTCCAGTCATTTATCTGATAAGTGTTCGCAGTTTGCCATTCCTTCTCTGTGCCATTACGCTTTCCCGTATTGTGATGAAACATCTTCCGTCGCAAAGCCACGGGATCTGTGCCGTGATGAATGTGAAATTCTAGAAAATGTCCTTTGCCAAACTGAGTACATCTTTGCGAGATCCAACCCGATGATTCTCATGCGTTTAAAGCTACCTAATTGTGAAGATCTTCCACAACCGGATAGCCCTGAAGCTGTCAACTGTATCCGCATTGGCATTCCTATGGCAGACCCAATCAATAAGAGTAAGTGATTTGATGTTGATTTGATAACTTGCTTTTCAAATACCTTTTGCATCAGATGTTTGTTACAATCTCTAAATCTCAAGAATTTATTACGCACTTTGTAAATTCAAAACTTTATATTTTCAAGTTTCTCACTCGATGGGAAGCTGAACTTACATTTCCAAAATCCATCTTCCAAATACAGTTTTCATTTTGTCTTGATTTAGTTTTCTGGCAATATATTTAGTATACCAGCAGTATATGCCAAATTATTCTATTTTTGTAACCCTACCAGTGGTTAAATCTGGTATTCCAAAGCTTGCTCATTAAACTACCAACTAACAGTTCTCTTAAAGTAAACGATACTACATGTAAGTAGACTTTCCAAAAGGCCAAAGGTTGCTGTGGACTGCCTGTGTGTTACGTTAGTTGGCCTAACTCCAGGCTCTGAGTTCATGGTAGATCAGAGACTGATTAGAATGAATGTAATATCAAATGGCTTTATTTCGAAGATAGCTCGATAACAGTTGAGTCTTACAGTTTCCCCTCATTTTCATGCCAGAGTAAGGGTTCATTTCAAAGTTTCCAGGGCAATCTTGAGTTCTTATTTCTGTTTTATTCTAAAAAATATTTGAGATAAGTTGTGTTTTGTTACTGAAGCCTAATATTTCAATCTTCTCGGGAATATGAATAAATGGCAAGCCCAGCATTTCTGGCTTTGCAAACTGAGAAGATAAATTACATATCATCATATAAACCAGTAAAAACATGCCATGCCACACTGGTGCTCCTTTTTATATTTATTTATGCAGTGCTTTTGACACAAAATAATAATAACCGGTACTCCTCAGTCACCGCTGCACACAGTGCCCACCTGTTTTGCTACAATTAACTACTTTCTTCTTTTTTAGACCACAAATGCTATAACAGCACAGGAGTAGACTACCGAGGGACCGTGAGCGTCACAAAATCAGGGCGGCAGTGTCAGCCATGGAATTCCCAGTATCCACATACACATACCTTCACAGCTATCAGATATCCAGAGCTGAACGGGGGCCATTCCTACTGCCGTAATCCAGGCAATCAGAAAGAGGCTCCGTGGTGCTTCACCTTAGATGAAAATTTTAAATCGGAGCTTTGTGACATCCCAGCCTGTGGTAAATATAAACCTCTCATCTATACGAAATGGATGAGTTTGAAATGTCAGAACTCCTAAAACTGTCCCATTTTGAGGTGCATTTCATTTGCCATTCTCAAGGATATCTTTCATTGCTTTACAAGGCAAAAGAGTTAGGCCAACATATTTTAACTTAAAGCACTCTTGCCAATAACTAAGACTTAGGACAAGCTTTCTAGCATTTTAGTATGCTAGGGACCTTAAAACTATGGGGTGTCTATCAGGAGAGTGACAGAGGACCATATTCAGCCGTTGGAGAGCGCCAGATCAGATTTAGTCCCAGCATATGAAGTTCTCCAACTCTACATGCATCAAACTTACATGTGATATTATTTACATGTCTAATCCTCTATATTTTGTTAAAGAGGAGAAAAAGTATATGTAGCTTTCAGATCCAGAATCCGTTCCTCATCCAGACTGGAGCACCATTCTGAAAATTGTTCCCTGCTTTGCTGCTTTTTGCCTCTGGAGGTGCTGATAGTTGAAAATTGCAGCTAGAAGAACTCTCCAATGACAAAAAAACAGAAACGCATAGGCATGAGGTTTGGTTATGTGTACATGTGGCACTAAGATCATTTTTGTCTGAGGAAGAACTTACAGAAGAAAATATTTCTTGTGAGGTATTTGGATAACAGCAATATTTTAAAAATAGCATTTCTGCATCTTGCCTACTTGTATACAGATTTAACAAAGTGATGAATTAAACATTAATTCAATATTACACAAATGTTGTCTAATGAAATTCAACAGGGCTATGCCAGATTTCATTAAAATGTGAATTCACAATTTCTATATACTTGTATTGAAAAATACCCATGGCTTTCCCCCTTAAGAATAAAGCAAGTGAGATAGAATGGAAGCAAGAAGATACTGTAATAATAATAATAATAATAATAATAATAATAATAATAATACTGTAACAACAACAACAACAACAGCAACAACAACTTTATTCATATATCCCGACCCACCACTATCTCCCCGAAGAAACTCGGGGCGGCTTACAAATGGCACAAAGTGCCTAAAAATAAACATAAAAGTGAACACAATATAAAATACAGTAAAATAAAATACATGCACATATAAAGGCATCCATTCAGACTCAAACAAATGCGATCTTCTAACCATGGTGGTAAATAACTGTAACCATGGCCAGACTGTAAACATTAGGAATAAAATAAGTGCCAGCTGCAGTAATGGAGAGAAGACATGAGATAAAGTACAGGATGTGCGACTCCTACGCAGGACAACTAGAGGCTAAATATTATCAAAGACTTGACTGAAGGGCAACATCTTCAAGTCCCTACGAAAAGAGGCCAGTGTGGGGGCCTGACTAATCTCCCTGGGGAGAGAGTTCCAAAGTCGTGGGACCACCACCGAGAAAGCCCTCTCCCTCATCCCCGCCAGCCGCACTTGTGACTGTGGTGAGACGAGAGGAGGGCCTCCCGGGCAGATCTTAGAGCCCATATTGGTTCCTAGGGGGGGATGTGGTCACGAAGAGGGAACTTACCTGAGATTCAATGCATTGGAGAAATAAGCCTTCAAAATGTTCTACACAAGCCTTTATAAAAAAAACTCAGGTTGAATGTAGGGAAATTGGTTTTTATACTACTTTATATGTATACCATGCTAGCGGAATAGAGTGGATTAGTGTTCTGACTATGAACTGGAGTAATTTATTTATTTTATTTATTTATTTACGACATTTATATGCCGCTCTTCTCACCCCGAAGGGGACTCAGAGCGGCTTACAAGGTATATATACATACAATATATTATTAACATAGTACAATATCAGTTTTAAATATTGCTATATTGCACTATATCAATTATACTGTAATATTATTAGTAATATTACATGTAATATAAATATATAATTATAATATCATATTATTATTATTATTATTATATTGCATTACATTACAATATTATAAATATTATATGTATATACAATATATTATATATTATATTATAACATATTATTAGAATAGCACAGGAGACAAGGTGGAACTGTCCCCTGGCCTCCCCTCTCTTCGCTCTGGCCCAGAGCGGCAGTTGGTGCTGGGGGGAGGGGTCCCCAATGGCTGGAAAATGCAGGAGACAAGATGATGCTGTCCCCTGGCCTCCTCTCTCTTCGCTCTGGCCCAGAGCGGCAATTGGTGCTGGGGGGAGGGGTCCCCAACGGATGGAAAATGAAGGTAATGATTCCATAGGCTCATAATTATAGAGGAGAAATAAATACTAAATTTGTCATTTCAGAAAATTCATTTAAACATCATATGTGAGGGGGGAAAAAACATTGGGCTTGGCTTTGGAAGCCCCTAATGCTATCATGGGTCACCACTAAGGAGAGAAAACTGCACGTGTAACTAGCCCCCCCCCCAACAAGAGGATAGCCAAAGATATATCTTCTGAAAAGAGAGGGGGAATAAGTTTGAGCATACAGATATGCATATCAAATGAGTGCTTACTTAAATGAAATTAAGAAGGGAGAAGTGCCCAAGCCCACCTGTGCTGCCATCAGCTGCAGATGGTTTGAGTTATTAGTTAGTTACATCATTTGTGCTTTCGTTTCCCACACTAGCAAATGTAAAAGATTACATCAGTCTACGGATCAGAGGGCCAAAGAAATGTCTTTACAGTTCGTGGTGGTTCTAATTATATTTGCTTTCTGTAGTTGCCCATGAGCTGAATTAAAATTATCTCTTGTGGCTTGTGAATTACATTATTCCCCTCCCTGCCCAGATGCATACATTTCTTCAATTTTCTGCCAATTTCCCATGGGTTCTATGTTCCATGTGTCTGACTTCCAATATCATTTTTTCCTGTTCTGATGTTATGGAAAATTTATTTTCTCAAATTTAAATGCAAAATGGACCTATTTCTTCTTTGTTTTAGAACACAGGAGAAGTATGTTACTCCTTCAATCTACACATTAATGGTCACATTAATTGGCATTTTGAGAAAAATGCACAGTGCTACCGAAGTGTGAAGTATTCACAATTCAGTTCTTAGACTAAACTCTTTTTGAAGTTCAGAATACTCTGAATGTGTGGCATGCTGAATTGAGAAAGTGATTTAATTGCAACGCATTTAAAACTAACAAGGCTTTATAGTGTTAGCTCGAGCTTTAGACAAATGTTAATTCCACTTAATTGGTGATGAATTGCACATGGAATTATCCCTGAAGCCTCCATGTAGATTTCAGCCTCAGATTAGAAACCATTCTAGTAATATCATTAGGCGCCCTTCTGGCAAATGCAGTAGTAAAATATATTCAAAATAGGGAGCAATAATTAAGCTGAAACTCTGTGTAGAGATAAGAGTGCAAAGTATTTGAAAGAATACAATGGGAAAGAATTCTGAGCTTATTGAGCGTGCTTCAGAATAAAAGGTAGTAATAAGTTCAAGCCTGAAGGAATAGTGAAGACGTCTGAGGCATAATGGAAGGAGTAAAGAAATAGGTTTTGATTCTAGATGTGTGGTCTTAATTTTTAATGAGGCTGTATTGCCAGAACTCCCTTGTGTTATCGGTGGACAGTCACGAAGTAGTTAAAGAAAGAGGGTCAATGCTGTGTTTGTTGGCTGGATAATTTTGCTTTTCTCCATTGTCCCAAACACATACAATCTTACAGGTTCAGCTATCGGTGTTTGCTGAGCTTCTTTTTGCCATCATATAATATAAAAGAATTTTAAAAAGGATTTTTTTTAAAAAAAGAAAAGGTAAAGAGCAAGAAAAAGGAACAATATATGGATAAAATTTAGAAAAATGAACACATCCCTAGATACAACAATATATTAACTAGGCTCAGTGTGCTCATGTGACTGCTATATTTATAACCCACCTTTCTCACCCTGAAGGGGACTCAGAACAGATTACATATAAGTCACAATTTGATGCCACACAATTCTACATCAGGAAGGAGGGGGCTGATCTGATTTCACTAGGGATGGAGTTCCACAGCTGAGGGGCCACCACTGAGAAGACCTTGTCTCTCGACCTCACCGGTCACACCTGCAAAGGAGGCGGGACCGAAAGCAGGGTCTCCCCATCATATCTTAATGTCTGATATGATTCATAGAAGGAGATATGTTCGGACAAGTGAGCTGGTCCCAGACATAATTACATAAGCAGTCTCAACCACAAATTATAATGAGAATCATAGTAGACATTTGATTGGATATGAAACCATAAATTGTAAGCCCAGCACAATACATGACTGATTGTACCAGGGCATACTGGGGGAAATTCATTCTTTGTTAATCTCAAGAGAATTGCAGTAATCAAGTTATAATATTATTAATTTATCATAATAGCAACAGTATGGAATATATATATGGAAATTAGTGGGGGGCAATGACATAAATGTAATTGGCAAGTCTTTTATTTGGTTTAAATAAACAAAATATACAAATAAATAGAATGATAATTAAAATAAATATCTGAGTATCTATAAGAATGAAGTCAGAACAAATCTTTTTGTACTATTATTTTGTTTTCTGTTTTAATTTTTACAATGTTAGGAAGAACTTGAGAACCAGCATGGTGAACTGATTTGAACATTGGATTACAACTCTGGAAAACAGGGCCTGAATCCCAGCTTAGCTATTGGAATTTGCTGGGTGATCTTTTGCAAGTTGCGTTCTCTTAGAGCAGGGAAAGGCAAATCCTCCCTGAACAAATTTTGCCAAGAAAACTATGTGATATGTATCTCATGTTCACCATAAGCGAGGAATGACTTGAAGGCAGTCAACAACAACCTTCCAACAGTAAGAACTATTTAGCAATGGAATAGATAAATGCAGTAGACTTGGTTTCATTGCAGATTTTTAAAAAGATGTTAGAAAGGCTACCAGGTGATGATGTGAATTCCTGCAATGGCAAGGTTTTGAACTGGTTTGATTCTATGAGTGCGTTACCAGTTCAGCAAGTTGTGGCTTGTTGGAATGAGAGTAAGCAGGACAATTAAGTGATGACTGCCCTTCCCCTGTAAACTCGGCTCTGGAAAAGGTTTACTGATGGGTTTTTTTAATATATGTTTTTTATTGCTGACACAGGTAGAATAATATCACAATCCATCACCATTTCCGAATACATATCAAATATTGTTTTCATAGTGTTCTTATCTTTACCTATTCCACCTTTATCTCCCACTTGTGTCTATCGATTTTACACCCCTCTCCCTCTCTGGGAACAGTAGTTATCTTCATTCAAATATTATTTTAATTGAACAATCGTGGAAAGAGAATGGTTCAGCTCTTTATATCTTTCTTTTCCTTCAACTTTATCTATCAATCTTCCCCATTTCTGAACCCGGGTCTTCTAGATTCGGCATGATGTATATTTGGCTCTTCTTTCAGAGATGTCCTGAAACATAAAGTCTGCTAGGTAACCATACCATTTTTTAACTTTTCACTTTCTGTGGTCTTTCCACCCCAAGGCCACAGTTGCTTGGGCAGCAACTATCATGTATTTTATAATTTCTCCCCAAGCTTTGATGTTTTTGTTCTTGTCTAATTTCTGGGTGAAAAAATATTTTTTATTAAAAATCAATTTATGCCCTATTAATTCTTCCATTTCCTTCTTTACTTTTTTTATAAAAATCTTGTACTCTGTTGCATTCCTACCACATATGTATATAGGAGCCAATTTTTCCACATCTGTGCCAACACAATTTTGTGCTTGTTTTAGTTATACGTGCTAGTTTAATTCGGGTTCTGTGCCATTTAGTCAGTATTTTCCTTTATGTTTTTCTAATCCTTATATACTTGATATTTTTATTGATCCAGTGTTCAATATCTGAATAATTGTTTTTTAGATCCTCTTTCCGTATCTCTACCAATGTTTGTTTCAAATTATTTTGAATTCCAACTAATTTCTTGTAAATGAACCCCATCAGGCCTTTCTCCTTTTCTAATTTCCACTTTAAAAATTGATCAAAATGTATATCTGGGCCTTCCTTTTTCCTCCACTTCATGATCCTTTGTTTCAGTCTGTTCCAAAGGAGCCAGTTACACTGACCACATTTTTCCTTTATTGTCTCACAATTCTTAATTGTCCCATCTGGGTTTAGGAGATCTTTTATCATTTTCATTCCATTTTGTATCAAATTTCTTATTACTTTGCCAAATATCTGTTCCTTTCTATTGTCTAGAAACCCTACTGGGAGTGTATCTACTTTATTTATTGGGAATTTAACTTGCCATTTTGTCCAGCACTCCAGGGATAAGATCATTGCCGCCCCCCCCCCTTAATTTCTTTTAGAGTTTTTTTTTGTCCATCCATCCTTTTAAGCACAAGCAATAATCCCATCCATTCATTGCTTTTTCAGTTCTGGCCCATCTTCTTGAATCATTGAAATCTAATTCTATCAATCTTGTTAACTGGCAGGCCTCAAAATAATTTTGTAAATTAGGTGCCCCCCATCCTCTGTTTCCTTCTGGAGAGTAAAATATTGAATTGGCAATTCTATTTTTATGAAAAATATTCCATCATAACTGCAGTTGGAAGTTGGTGTAAGTGTTTCTATAGACCAGGATTACAAACCAGAATTTCTAAGGAGCATTTAAGCCAGAAGTTGTTAAATAGCAATAAGTTGATGTTCAATCAATCAGGAAGCCATGTATATAAGCGAGGAAGGCTGAGGAGAGAGCATTTATATACATCTCTTATATCCACTGTAGCAAAAGGTAGTTTGACCAAAAATATTCTACCTAAAGCGGGCCAGTGCCTGTAGAAAAGGTTTATCTACAATATATTCAACTGAACCAATTGAAATTATCTAAATGTGGATTTCAGTTCAACTCCAGTTCATGGAAACACTCTCCTTGTATTTTCTATTATATTTATTAATTGTCTTGCCTTTAAAATTAAAGAATATGCCATGCCCACTGGATTTCCATGGCTCAGCAGGGATTTCAAACCTGGCTCCCAAAATCCCAGTCCTACAGTCAAACGACTACCCCACACTGGCTCCAAGTGCTGACTTGACATTCAGCAATCGTCATCTGATGTGTCTGCTTTATTTGGGAATAGTAACTAGATTCACGAGTACAATCCTCCTCCAAAAAAAAACAAACACCTTTTAAAGCTTTTAAAAATGTTGTGCTGTTCCTAAGAACATTGAAGATTGTGGAACCATCAAACGAGACAGAACTAAGTCAAAGAAAATGTAGAATATTAAAACTTTTGACAAATTCTGCTTCCTCTGGCATATTTTTTTCCTCTTTATTAGAAGAAATGGGAAAAGAGATGAGATGTGTTACAGGTGTTGCTGCCAAAATTCCAAAAGTGTTTCACATCCATGGGAATGCATCAAGAGGTTGTAATGCTCCTGTTCTTTCTCATCTCTTTCATCACCTAACCATTTGTAGTGGGTGTTTTTATTGCCAGTTCATGTCTTTTCTTACTTCTTGTCTGATTACTTATCAAACTGTAACCTTCTAGCTCTCATTCCCATCTAGACCAAAACTCAGTTACCTGAATTAACCCACTCCCCAGCTCTTCTGGTAGCATGTTTTCCCTGGCCAATATTTATTGTGGCTACATCAGAAAAGTACTTGGTGTTGCTAGGGGTCAGTTGCTAGCAGGTGGTGTGGGTGAAGGTTATCTGATTTACCTGTCTTTGAAGAATTGTTCAGACAAACTCATATTCTTTAGCATTTAAAAACTGTAACATGTACACTTGCATTAAGCAAACAGCCAGCACCACAAGATTTGACAGAATAATTTTTACGTTATTAAACTCTTCTCTTCATCCCTGCAATTATGTACGCTCAAGAACAAATAAGAATAACTCCTTGCCAGTTCATATGTAATCTCCACATGTCATGCTCTTTTCTCCTCCTAACTTTTCTCCTCTTTCTCTTCCTACCCATGTCTCCTCCTAGCTCTCATATTAATTTATGGAAAGATGTTATTGCTTGTGGTTTTATACCCTCAGATCCTTTATCTCCTGAGTTGTTTTATGTTTCTATTTTACCCCAATTCATTCTTGTAGTTACATTTTATGACCCTCCTTGGGTTGTTGCTTATTTTGTAGTTAATCTCTTATTTCTTTGGATTTGTTCCTGTAAGTGCAATCATATTTCAATAATATTGTCTTTCATAAAATTGTCTGAAATGCAAAAAGGATAAAAAATAAGGAAAAACATGACAACAGAAAAGAATAAATGCTCCTACATGTAACTGAATGTGCGTTGAGTGCGATTTTCCTGCTTCTTGTTAGGGGGTTGGACTGGATGGCCCACGAGGTCTCTTCCAACTCTATGACTCTATGATTAAGAGAAGATGGGCAGAATTCAGTGCTGGTCTTTTGCTGGGGGAGCGGCAAAACCCAACATAAGCAATAAGAGGGTGATTTCCTCTTTCCATTTCTCCCTAAAAAATTGGCTCTGGAATACTGAAGCATCTTCTACTCTGCCATTTAATACCTTTTGAAACTATATTGTATGGTCAGTGTAGATTCATATAATGCAGTTTAACTGCACTGAACTGCATTATATGAGTCTGCACTGACTATATAATGCAGGAACCCTTAGGACATTTTATTTGAGGAAAAGAAGATAGGGACATGTTTTCCTTCTCAGTGGCTTTTCAACCTATCAACCATGGATCTCCTGGACCAACTGTCTGCAATAGCAGCTTATAGTAACATATGGTTGTGGTTCTGATACCACCTGATCTGTTTCAGAAAATCGTGCTGGGTACTGGGCTACAATG